TATATATCAATGGAAATAGCATGAAATCAAAGGGCAGGATATAAATTAATAAAGCATAGACATATAAAACACTTGTGAATGTGATTTGTGAAGCATACCTTGCTCTCTGGTTTTGCATGAAGCTTGGACCCTGTTTTAGGAATTGTGTAGTCTCACCAAAAAGTGGCCAACCCATAGTTCCAGGAGGCAAACTTTTGTTACTGTACCTGATCTCATTCCATCTAAATAAAGCAGTACTCAACATGCACAATCCAAAAATCACTGCTACAACAACTAAGAAGAAGGCCATTGATGCTCCTAATTAAGAAGCCCCAAATTAAACCACCTTACTTAAAAATGCTAATTACTGGTTTAGGCTTCCTCTGGTTCAAGCTTATATACTCTCTTAATTTAAGCATAAATTACATACCTTTTTAATTAAAGAAGGAATCAATTCATAATTACATTTTCCAAACAAAACAAAAAAGGGAATGGATTAATTACCAGCAAATCAGATTGTGTATTAAAAACTAGATTAGCAAGTTAGATAGTATGTTAAATAGAAATTTTAGCAAATCAGATAATGGATTAGTCATAATATTAGTAGTAAATTAGATATATAGTGTATTAATAACGATATTAGCAAATAGGATAATGTACGAATAACAATATTAGTAACAAATCAAATAGTGTTTCCATAACAATATTAGCAAATCAGGTATATATTATAATGTTAGCAGATCAGATAATTATTAATAACAATATTTGTAAATACAATTATATTAATACTTTTTTAGTTTACTTTTTGGTCGAAAAATGGACACAGTACCCTACTTTTCCAAATTAGTTTTTTCCGCTATCGAAATTATTTTCATTCAATAGCTGCAAATGTGTATAAAATTTAGATATTTTCGTATATAGTATACAGAAATGTACATATATACAACTAAATATATATTTTTTCGCTATTATTTTGAAACTGACTAACAATGTCATTTTCCCGATAAACGATTATGCTCTAAAAAATGGTTGTGGATGTCTATATTGTTACACTTTAAGTTTCAATGATGACAATAGCAAATATCTAACCAATCCTAATGTATGCAGGAACTTAGGAACTTGGAAGGAAAGAAATGCAAATGCCGAAATTGACAAAAGGAAAGAAACCAAGCCAATGTCGAATTAAGCAAAGTCCGGAACAAATCAATCAAGATAATGATAAGCAATCAAGTTCGAGAATAAAGGAAAATCTGTGGAGAAAGAAACCAGAAGATCATGATTGACAGAATTCAAATTTAGACAACAAGCAAAATGAAAGTTGGAGTGATTGTGGATGAATTAACTACACAGGCCGATGATTGCTCCTGAAAATCAGGAAAATACAAGGAAAGAAGAGCATATCCAAGTATTGAATCCAGCCTTCTTTTGGGGTTAAATCTCTTAGAATAATCTTTGCCTCAATCAATGGTTCATATACTCAAGATTTGCAACGACTCTGACGACAAGAAGAACTCAAGATTTACCTATATGAAGAACTAAAGGACAGAAGAAAGACTCACGCAACTCCATATATAAGTTTCTACATCTTTCTAGTTCTTAGTACAAATACTATATTCTTGAATTTGCTAGTGTCACAAGAGATAGGAAGAGTTAGAAAATAATCAAGAACTTGTGTCAAGCATGGAGAACCACTGTAACCGAACTTCGTTAGTAGTGAACGAACTAAAACCACAACTCCTGTAACTATTCATATATTGAAGATCTAAGAAGAAATCAAGACCTACAATCACTTCTCAAGCCAAGCAAAACTTAGAATTTCGCCTAGAAACACATTCGGGGCAAGTTCTAGTTCATTTGCACAGGTACTTGGACTTGCAACAAAAATCTCACTTCTCACACAATTGGATTGTTAAAGAGGATAGAGTCGAGGGACCATAACAACCACATTCAATATTGAAAATCACTAATGGTTCAACTAAACCACTCGATGATTGTTCAAGTCAACACAAGAGTCTAAAAGTCACTAATTAGAGCTATTTCCTGCCAAGAACTTGTTTTTAACCATAAGGCCGTAGTTAAATGTGTTGGTACCAAGTGAAGCATGTTTGACCCTTTGTATTCATTAATAGTACTATTTTTACCTAAACATCAAAAACGGACTCAATCGATTAAGATGGTTGTCACGCCATCCATCATTGGGAAGTGACACCCGGTTCACACAAAATCCACCTTTGGAAAGAATCGTGACATTAAGAAAACCAAAGGCTTATTGCTCACTTAAACATAAAAAGAAGCTACCAAATCAAAAATAAGCTATTAAAGTAAATAAGAAGTTATACTACTAAGAAAAGCAAGCTAAAAAAGCTATAAAATAAAATACTGAAAGTAAGACAAATGAATATACAAACCGAGGGGAATATAATATATACATAAAAGAGAGGGAGGAATATATACATAATGAAAGAGAGAATAAAGATAAAAGAAAAAAAAAGAGTATTAAAAAGTTATTACAGGCCAATGTCATATCAAATCAACCAAAATAGACCACCCCCCTGAATAAGAATAAGCATTGTCCTCAATGCTTAACAAAATCATAGTAAGGAAGGGTAGAGAGTAAAGAGAACTCCCTATGTGGTCTCGGTGTGCATGGGATCATCAGCATCCTCGGGCTCCGCCAACTGGATCTCATCATCCTCCGGTCGGGGAATAACAGGGTTGGCGAACATCTGAAGCATATCCTCAGTAGTGTGGGCGGCGAGGTTTGGCTCTCCAGCCTGGCCAGCTGTTGCCTCTGATGCCTCAGGTACTGATAGTTCTGTTGGTGCTGACTCCATCAGCAGATTAAGTGGTATATCCCTAGCAGACGCTATCTTGGCCACTTCTTTTCTCAATATATCCACCGATTTCTTTGAAGCCTAAGATTTCCGCATCTTCTTCACCTGTTTTCCTAACTCCTAAATAGCTACCCCATGTGCCACAATGTATCCATGACGGTCTTCCGATTTTCCAGGATCTTCTTCAATGTTTCCTCCACTGACGGAGGGACCTGTGATGCTGATGGGGCAGAAGACTGTGCTGCAACAACACTGGATATGTCAGACAACTTTGAAGTAGTTGTCTCCATCCAGTTGTTGAGACTCGCCAATGTCTGGGAGACTTGCAGCGAAGTGAGTAGATATGTGGATGAGCCAGGCATTGGTACTGATGTAGATGGTCTAGAAGATGGAGGTGGTGGCATGTCAGCTGTCTCGGTGGAAAGGCCGGCTGTTGTGCAAGGCATGACAGCTGTAGAAGGCTCAATAGCTGAATTTGTAACCACCACCGTTGGCTCATCAGACTGGCCACCGGTGGTAGTTGCTTTTCCCTTGAACTTTGGGTTCCCCGGTCCTTGCAAATAGTACCATGAGAAGGGCTTTTTGGCCCGCACCTGTGTATCAAGTCTCTTAGGCTCCACCTTGGCATCCTTAAGGTATTTAGTTAGGGTGTTTGGATATGGATATGAGCTTTCACCTTTTCGAACAACCACAAACATGTTGGCCGACATGATGGAACCCACATTGATTGGGTACCCGGCCGTGGTAGATGCCACCAAAACTTCTCGGGGAAGTGGAATATTGTTCTCATTCCTGCTTGGGTCTATCCGACTGCACACAAAAGTTTGCCACCCTTTTGCTTCAAAATTGAGGGTGTTCCGTGCAATGGAAACTCCCGCTGTGATCCACGGTGGTGGTGGTCCGGAGCTACCAAGATCTCTGCTAGCCAAGGGCGAGCTGCATCACCCATAGCAAGCTTCTCTATGTACTGGACTGCCTCTATCTCCTCAAATCCCATGTAAGCTTTCAAAAGTGAATTGATCGAATCTAACCTTCAAATTCCTCACTTTGGTCACTTTGGTATCTTTCTTGATGTGTGCCACATTGGCATAGAGTTCACGTACCAAGTGAGCATTGGCATCCATAACACTCTGGGTGAACCACATCCACCCCTTGCGCTCCCTGAACTGCCTAAGGACATTGCGATTGTATTTATCCAAGTCCTTCACTAAGAATTGCCGCTCAAGTGTGAGCGATCTCTGGGGACACCATTCTTTGAACCTTCTGAAGGCTGTCAAGCTCACAAATCTATCTTCCCATATCTCCTTCTTCTTCGACCTCTCTAGGCCAGCCACTCTAGTGTCACCCCCTCTACCATCATCAGGAGCATCATCACCATTATCAACAGGGATAGGTATTGCGGGGGCATGTAAGGAAGAGGGCTCAGAATTTTGGCTACCCTCTTCTAAACCCTCAGAAGAACTAGCAGAGGAG